CAACCCCCTCCCCCCCGCTCGGACGCCGTAGCAGCTACATGGAGGTGGGGCATGTCGTTGCTACGTTGGAGTATATCGACACAGAGAAGAAAGGTGAACAAAGCCATGCTTTGTGTGAAAAGTTCGTCGATTAGTGTATGAAACCGACTCTACTCAGACGACGAAACCGACTATCGTCCATGGCGTCCGTCCGATGCAAAGCCGTCGACGGCCCCTTGCCGCCCGCAACGATTGCCGCCTTCTCCAGCGCCGTCGCCACCAAACGTCCGCCGTGGAGGCCGACGTCGTCGTTGCATGTTGCACGAGTTGCCGCCACAGAGCGGCTCGTCCTTGTGCCACGAGTGCGTTTTTGGCGAATCTCATGTTGCTTATCAGAGCTCGTTCTGGAGCACATACGGGGATGCGCCGGGCACACTGGTAGGGCGTTGGATGCAGCACAGGAGTCGGTGTCTCGATTCGACCACCACGCTGACCTTGCGCCGCGATGGTCGACTCAACAGGACGCAGAATGGAACGCGACGACGAGGGAAATGTGCCGACATGATACGGCCGAGTGCAAAACAAGTCGGGCGATGTTTGGACGGCTGTGCAAAGCACACTCGCACATCGCGTCGACAGGCGCCACAGGGAGTCGCATCCACGACAACGGACGGTGCGTTTGTCGAACGGTCTTGCCGCACTCTGCACCAGCTCAAGCTCGAAGAATGCTGGGGGGCATGCCACGTAGTTACATGCCAACGCTCGTCCACCCATGAGTACACCATGTTCTCAAACCCCCACGCGGGGTTGAATCCAGCGCCCGTCCCCCCCCTTCCGCCCATTGCTGGACAGCCCCAAGACCTGATAATGCTGTGTCCGAGGTAGGTCCATGCGGCGAAAAGTGTTTGCTGGACGGCGCAGCGATCGACGCCATTTTCCCATTTGCCTCCTCCAAGCATGCGAGCTGTGTTTGCCCTGTCTGGTGTTGCCGCCACCGCCGCGGCCGTCCAGCAGTCCGTGATGTCGATGTCCGCGGACGAGCGCATGTCCCTGGAGCAAGACCTGGCCGAGTGGAAGGCCGAGTTCGGCGAGGTGGCCCGCCAGAACGGCCTGCTCCCCGCACCCAGCTCGATCATGAGCGAAGAGGACAAGGCGACGAACGAGCTTCAGCGCCTCCTGGACACCAAGCTGTCGGCCGAGGAAGCGGCGCTGGCCAACCCCGACGCCTCGTTCAACTGGCGCAACCAGTTTGCGCTGATGAGCAACGCCGAGTTCAAGGCGTACGTGGCCGTGTCGTTCCGGCGCGGGTCGCTCCTGCGCGGTGAGATTGTGGAGACGTCGTCGGACGAAGAGGCTGTGTCGGTGCAGGCGACCAAGGACTGGACGTCGTCTGGGTGCGTGAGCCCGGTGCAAAACCAAGGCAGCTGCGGGTCGTGCTGGGCGTTCTCGGCCGTCGGTGTGTCCGAGTCGGCGCACTGCATCAAGACGGGCAGGCTCCTCAAGCTGTCCGAGCAACAGGTGGCCAGCTGCTCCACGAACGGCGGCAGCCAGGGCTGCAACGGCGGCTTCCCGTGGGCCGCCATCGACTACGCGTCCAGGGGGCTGTGCCTGGCGTCCGCGTACCCGTACACGTCGGGCAGCTCTGGCCAGACTGGCGCGTGCAAGACCAGCTGCGCCAAGCAAACGCTGTCCATCGGCACCAGCGCGCGTGTGTCGGGCGACTCGGGCGTGGCCTCCGCGCTCAACAGGCAGCCTCTGTCCGTCACGGTCGAGGCCGGCAACAGCGTGTGGAAAAACTACCGCGGCGGCGTCGTCAGCTCGTGCCCGGGCGCCCAGTCCGATCACGCCGTCATTGCCGTCGGCTACGACGGGACGTCGTTCAAGGTCAAGAACTCGTGGGGCACTGGGTGGGGCGAGAGCGGCTACATCCGCCTCAAGCGCACCACGAGCGGCCAAGGCACATGCAACGTCGTCGGCGCGGCCTCGTACCCCCGCATCTAAGGCTTCGTCAGTCGTCGTCGTTCATTCCACGTCTCGTCAACACGACCTTGTGTTTGACTTCTATCCATGTGGACTGTGCGTTTCTTCGTCCATCGCGAGTTGTCGAGGGCCCTCGTCGTCGCATACGATCGAATGGTGTGCTTCACTGCATGCGCTCTCATGTCGGCGTCGCCCCTGCCCCATGACGCTGGCGCTGTGCCGGCGATCCATCACACGCAGGATGAGGTGGCCCCGCCGCCATCGTCCCGGTCGTAACCGACTTGAATTCGATTGGCTCGACAAGTAATTCGTACAGATTGCACAAATATGATTGGCTCCAAATATCCAATCAAAAGAGGGACGGAAGGTCAAATTGCAGTGGCACCATGTTTCACAGTCGAAAGCACCCCTTGCTCGTCAAGCACTGGGGTGGCCTCGTCGACAGTCGCACCACATTCCAAAATGGACACGGTCTTCGCGATCCACTCGATCATGACGTCGTCGAACTCGATCCTGCCACCGTCGGTGCGTGAGGTCGTCATCGCACAACTCCCCGCGACAGTCTAAACGAACGTTGGTGGTCGTCATCGACTCGAGTCTGCTGCGAAGCATTCCACCGGATGGATTTCCGGCCATCCTTGAAGACGCTCCACACAAACCAACGCCTTCGTGGATGACATTACTGGCTCACTACATTGGACGAGCAATGGACTTGTTCACGGAGGACAACGTGGACCTTCCACGCTGGTTGAGCGAACACGACCGTCGCAGTGCATTGTAACCACATGGAAGTCCGTGGCCTGTGCACGTGGATTTGAGCGCCGCTGTGATGGCGCTCAAAGTCGAGCTCAACGACGTAACAACTTTGTCGCCAGCTCCGCAAAGCCTCGTGTACAATGGCACGTAACAGAACGACGAGGTCGTGGTGGGGATGTAGGCAGGACCAGTCGCGACTCACGATTGTTTCTGGGTTGAACGAAATGCGCGTGGTGTCCATGAGCGCCGTCAAGCTCGCGCTGCCGAGACGGACTGAGTCGTCGACTCGTTGGATTCTAGAGTCGTGTCCGTTTTGAGTGAGCACGATGGCGCGCGCACCTGCACCCGACGCGTCGGTCGATCCTCGACGATCCGTCGCTATTGAATCACCTGGTGGACGGCCACGAACGTGAGCGCATGGGCGACCATCTGGGCATTGTACAGCGAAGCAAAGGCGCGAGTTGTTGCCCTTACTCCTTCCGCCGCCATGAAGCCAGGCGTAGCTGAGATTGCCGAGCATCGAAAACGTGGACGCCAAGTTGGGGGTGCGGCAACTTGTGGAGACGCAGGACAGCATGTTGGACACAGATATGTAGGCGGGAAGGTCGCTGCCCGACAATTCGCCGGCTCTCTAGACCGGAGAAATCCTGCGCTTCGCTGACGTGCTCGGCGTGACCCTTGCCACCGATTCCACACCGGTGCCCCAGAGAACGCAAACGACGTGATGTGTGCGGCGCAACTCGACCCCGTTGCCAACATTGGCTTGGAACAACGCGACATGAACCTCCGGGCGTTGAAAGCTATTTCGTTCGGCAACGACGACGCAGCTAGCCACTGCAGTCTCAACGGGTCGATGGCGTAGGAGCTTGCTGCGGAACAGCACTTCGGACGAAGTTTCCATTGGGCTTGAGCTTGTGTTTGTAGGGTGCATGAAGCGGTGGCAGCGGACCCATTCAGTGCCTTCGCGTGGTCGAGGAAGGGGTGTTCGACTGCAGTTAACCTTTGCCGACATGCCTTGGATGGGGAATATGACTGTCTGGCCAGTTTGCCTGGTATTCAAGACAGCCCAAGTGGCAAGTGGCAACCTCTGCCGTTAGCAGCGAACACGTTGGCATACACATGGACAGTTGTGCCGTCGAAGACAAATTCGTGCGCGATCACAAAGGGATCTGCCCAGAGGCCCTGGATGGATCCATGGCGTAGTTCGGACGGGACACGTGGACGACGGTGTTCATTGAGTTCATTGTACGTCTTGGCACAAGGTGCACACGAATAAGCTGGAAACAGACTGCATTGTGCGGTTTTCACATTGAGAACTCCCGCGTCCAGAGGGGTGTCAAGTGATGGCACCGGCGCAACCGTCGCCGCCGTCGATCGTGTCGTTGTTGGGCAAGTGTCAAGAAGCCCGCCCTGTTGAGGAACCTCATCTGGAAGGTTGTCGTCGTTGTCTGCACGAAGCAAGCAAAGCAAGACATGGACTTGCTCGCAATCATTGCGGCAGCGGCATCTACGACAGCAGTGACGCGGGAAATTTGACGATGATGTTGAGAGACGTGGCCACCACCACGGCGACGTGGGCGATGATTTGGGTCGCAATTCGAGACGTTCTAGAACATGGGTTCAAAGCACGCAGCGCGCCATCCCCGCGCCGGGCGCGCCATCCATGGTGGTCCTTCCCGCTCGACACATCCGTTCAACCTTTGCCGAAAAACGTTGAGAATGGCATGAACGAAAAAAGGGTGTCAACTTGTATTGAGCGAACACGCTCTAGACGATGATTGGCTAAAATAGTTCATTTCCATGGGAAATTCACGAATGAAGTGGCATGATTGGCTATAATTTATCGCCTTAGATACAAATCGCCATTTTCCTCGTGAGAAACCACCTCTCTCATGGGCGTCCAAGTGGTCGTGAAGCGCTCGAATGGAGACAAGTTGACGGTGGAGGCAGACCTCGATGGAAGTGTCCTTGCGTTCAAAGTAGAACTGGAGAAGCTCACCGACGTGCCTGCGTCCCAGCAACGTCTCATCTACAAAGGCAAGGTTCTAAAGGACGAGCTCACGTTGGCAAGCTACGAGGTCGAAGCCGGGCAAACTCTATACTTTGTTAAGGGTGCTGCGAGTAAACCTCCCGTGGCGACGGCGCCCGCGCCTCCAGTCACCCCTACTCCGCCACCTGCTCCGTCTCCGTTTAGTTTTCCGCCGGTATCCACAGGCGCTGCTGCCGCGTCGCCGTTCGGTGCTATGAATCCGTTTGGTGCACCTGGAACAGGAGGATGGGGAATGCCGCCTCCCAACGTTCAAAGCATGATGCAAAATCCTGAAATGATGCAGCAAATGATGGAGTCGCCGTTGGTCCAGAGCATGCTGAGCAACCCCGAGATCATGCGCGGGATGATGCAAGCGAATCCAGCGATGCGAACACTGCTCGAGCAACATCCCGAGCTGAACCACGTGATGAACGACCCCGAGTTGCTGCGCCGGAGCATGGAGGCCATGCGTAACCCTGCCGCGATGCGCGAAATGATGCGCAACCAGGACACGGCACTGCGAAACATCGAGTCCCATCCCGAAGGGTTCAACGCCCTGCGCCGCATGTACACGGAGGTCCAGGAGCCACTTCTTAATGCGACGTCCTCGAATGCCGGCATCGGTGCTTCCAATCCCGCCTTCGTCATGCCCGGCGCAGTGGGTGGCACTTCAACGACGACTCCACCGACGACGACCACGGCCCCTCCTGCGACCGCTCCTGCGAACCCGTGGGGAGCTGTAGCAAGTCCAAACAACCCGTGGGCCCAGCCTACTCCTGCAGCCGGCACACCCAACCCATTTGGCAGTGCGACTCCCTTTGGCGCATTTGACCCGAACATGCTCAACAACCCGATGGTCCAAACCATGATGCAGCAGATGAGCCAAAACCCTGCGTTGCTAAGAAGCATGATGGAGATGAACCCGCAGTTCCAGCAGCTCGACCCTGCCACGAGAGAAATGATGCTTAACCCAGACGTGCTTCGCACCATGATGAACCCGGCCAACCTCCAAGCGATGATGCAAATGCAGCAAGCGATGGGCCAGCTCCAATCGGCGGGCGTGCTTCCCTCTGGTGCAGTAAATCCAGGGTTTGGTGGGTTTGGAGCGTTCCCTCCGGCGGCTGCCATGCCGGTCGCCAACCCCGAAGAACTGTACGCATCGCAGCTGTCCCAACTCGTCGACATGGGGTTCTCGAATCGAGAGCAAAACCTTCGTGCGCTGCAGGCCACGTTTGGCAACGTCAACGCCGCTGTCGATCGAATCTTGAGTGGGCTATCGTAGAGTTCCGTCGTAATACAGCACTCGTTGTGCACCACAACGCACGCGCTGGTGGCGCAGCCGTCGTCAATGGTCTAGTGCTGTGCCGTTCGTGAAAAAGCTGAATCGGCCGCTGGATTCGCGGCGCGCGCCATGGACTTGATCGATCCAGCGACCACGACAGAGCTGACATGCCCAGTGTGCTGTCCGCTATTCCTTCCAATGCACAGCTCCTATTGCAGTGGTCTGCAACCGACAACGCGGCCACGCATGCCTGTGGCCCAACACGTGCAGAATCGAAAGGCGACACGATGAGTCTCATCGTCTCACGCGACTTGATGCGGTGTCGCTGGCACAACTACGGACAATTGAACTGGAACGAGCCTGGTCGAGGCCAACGACGCTTCTCTATAGCGCGTTGGAAAAGCGACCGATGCTGGGTTCAACGGGGAAGGGTGCTGCTGGACGGTCATTGGAGTTGCTTGGCGACTACGCTTCCATCAGAGCAACAACGGGTGAGGCTGCGATGGACGATCGCGACGTGTGGAAGTACGCACGAGCAAGTTGTTTGCGCAAGACTCGGCACGTCGCTTCAGCTTGCAACCACTTTCGCTTGAACGCAGCTTGGGCCCAGAGTTCGCTGGCGACGTAGTCGGCCCGCGTTGCAGCCACGTGCATCTGTCGTCGCAACCATTCATTTTCCCTACGTTCCCATTCAATGGCACAACAACGACGCCACGGTCGTTCTACGCACTTGACGACGGCATCGTGCTCGATTTCCTGTTGGACGCGCTGTCGAGATGCTTCCGTGGTCACAGCCGCCAAGGCTGCTTCTTGCTTCTGCTCGTTGAGTCAGGCAAAGGAGAGAGTTGCGGCAAGAGAGACCTGCAGCTGAGCTTGCGTGGCCGCCAATGCTTTCTCGAGGTGGTCGCACTTGGTGTGGGCACGTTGCAGTTTTTGCGCCAGGCGAGCTGTCGAAGCGTCTGCTGCGTCCTTCTCCGCCTCCAACTCGCGGACGCGCGCTTCGAGCTGCCTTCGCTTGGCAAGAGATGCCATAGCGCTCGCGTCAGCGCATTTCTCCACGTTTGTCTCGACCCGATGCACTGCTTTTGGAATGAGCCATGTTTTCAGCTTGAATGTGGCGATGACGGCATTCCGGACAATGTCGGGGTGCTGGCTGCAGTCCACGATCGTCCAAACCGTCACCACAGCGGACCGATGGATGTGCGGCGACAAAGACGAGACGAGTGTCGACGACTGCGGCGTCCGAAGCTGCGACGTGTACCATGGAAAGCACACACCCGTCGATGGATGCACCATCGTGGCGACGGAGCAGATTGTGGCAGTGGCCGTGCCGTCGAATGTGGCTTGGAGGAAGAGATGGTCTTCGGGATCGACACGGACAGACTGCATAACTTGCAGCAGCGACGTCCAATTTAGCTTGACATGCTATCGAGATGGGGGAGTCGCACACCAGTGAGGGTTCGACGGAGCAACGTACGAGGGGGACATGAAGCTTGTTGGCGGGTGACGTGCTTGGTTCCATGAAGCACTCGTGCAGTGAAATGGCCTCGAGCGACGCAAAATGGTCGCAGATGCCGCTGGCCCCCACAGCGCTGAAGTAGGCCAACGTAACGTCCCCATGACGCCCGCTAAGGATTGCGTCGAGGAGCTTTGGCAACTGATCTTGTAGCCACGCCCCGCTGAACGCCCCAAGGTGGACAAATGTCGAGTGTTGGTTGCGACCGATCACCCCAGCGAGCTCGGTGGACCAGGATGGCGGAGACTCGGCCAACGACCACGCAATTGAGTTGAACCGTAGGGGGCTCGACGTCTTTCCTGACGCATCTCGCCACCGCACGCATGTGGGATTCCCGCCCTGGCATTGCAGCATCGACGCCGTCGTTGCCTACACCACGCACGCATCGTCGTTATCCATGCCCCGCGACAAAGGGCAACTGACCGCAGCATGGTTGCCCGAGGGGCTGTGGACGCGCAAATGATGCCTGAACCTATCAATTGTCAGGTACGTCCTACCGAGCTCGACGCCGCCGCCACCTACTCTGGCATGACGACCCAACCCGATTGAAAATGTTCTAACCGGCGTGTCCGGTAATTATCCGGATTGTACCGTGCCACGCGGTCTTCAATGAATTGACGATGGAACGATCGTTGAAGAAGGTCATGCAAGTAGAGCTACCGACGAAGCAGGTATCGCCGCGCCTGCAGTCAACTGCATCGAGCCAGAGGGGCCTGCATGTATGCATGCCCTTCACTTGCGGCGGCGAGTGTCGATTTTTCGTTTTGTTTCTCCTGCGTTGCACGCAAAACCTTGCAATTGTCATCTCGTCCATGCAGCAAAGTCGGTGCTCGTACCCTGACAGCAAATCCTACTCGTGGAGAGACTCACGACGACAGGGTTGCCTCTGCGCAGACAATCTCGTCGGCGCTGGTTCGATCGCGCCGGTGAGTACTCACTCGGTCTCGCCGCTTCTGCATGTTCGCGAACGTGTTCTCGAGCGGTGTGTGGCGACTTCTGATTGGCTCATTCATGGAGAAATCTGATTGGCTGGTCGGATTTTGCCGCGTGGAGCGACGTTTGACGTGTCAACGCGATAGCTCATTCCGCGACTTGCCATGACCGACACGGTGGTGCTGCTCTCGACGGCACATGTCGCGTCCATGACGCCTCCGTCGCCGCTTTCTCCGCGTGAAGACGACGTGGCGCCTCTTCCGTGTGCGCTACCGTCCTTGTTGCAGCTCTTGGACTTCCCGACAACGAAGGCTCTGGCCGACACGTTGCTCGTGCATCCCAACACGCGCCGGGAAGCGATTGAACGTGACCGCCGCGTAACATTTTTCCGCGGCAAGGAAGTGCGCAAGTGTTTCCGCAACAACTACGGGAACTACACCGTCGAAGACATAGGACACTCACTCCTGACGCACGGATTTATCCATAAGTCTAGACGCATCAAGGCGCCACAGTCGTCTCCCCAAACAAAAGCTCCACTGTCCCCATACCCATACCTAGACATTGACGAAACCAACCAAACGTTCTCGGAGGATGGCGTGTACACGTGGATGTACGAAGGGTCGTCGGCGTTGCGGAACCTTGCGAGCCTGTCGTTCTTTGCCCTGCTGTGTATGGGTGTGCTGTATCCCGTGTGGCCGGCATGGGGTCAAAAGATGCTTTGGGACTCCGGGGTCACGGTGGCTTTGGCGACTGGAATCGTTCTCGTCGTGCGCTTTATGACGTGGCTCTGCGTATGGCTCGCAACGGGGCAACATGTGTGGGTTCTCCCGAAGCTTCCCCTACTTCATCCAACGTACACCGTGCGCAGCCCGGCAAACTCGGCTGCGAAGACATCGTGGGTACCACGCGCGGCAGTGGTATTCATCCTTGTTTCTGTTGTTATCATGATGTGGAACTACCCTCCTCCTTGCGCCTCGGCCAAAAAGGGATGTGTCGGTTTCGGTCGGAAGCTCATCAAGGAAGCGTATCGAGGGACCTTGCTCCAGCGCTTCTCACAAGAAGAAAAGGACTTTGCGATGACGATGTTTCGCATTCTCCGTCGACTCTTTTAGACCTCGTCCGCGCCAAGACGGCTGAGTCTGCGGCGGCGTCTTTCGTGTTCTCTCGCGAGTGTGTAGTTACTATTTATCCGGAAAAATATGATATGTCGAATATTGTCACAATTTTGGGGCGATATTGACTTGGACGGCAAATTTCTTGGAGTTTTCATGAATTTCTTGATCACATCGAACTCATTGTATTTTTGCGAAAATTTTGATTCTCCCAACATCACGAGAAGTTGTTGTCGCCAACATGCATACAAATTCCAAGATAACAGGCATTACACACTTCCCGCCTGAACTGGTGCAGTCGAGACATTGCGGCATGATGGGACATCCTTTCTAGATTCGCTGCACTGATCGCTCGTGGAGTTGACGTGGTTTTGCACTGCGTTGTCGCTGCTACTCAAGAGATGCGCGAGCAATGGACCGTTGAGATGTTCGAAATTCGGCACGCTGGACGTGCAATTTACGGTCAAGTGAATCGATGTTATCCGGATTGGAATTCCATTTGTGTTAAGTATAGGGTTCGCGCCACGTCACCGATAGAGGTGAAATTTCGCGGAAATTCATTTTCTATTCGTCCACCACACCACCCACTACAGACTATCATGGGGGCAGAATGCTGTGACGGCCATGGGCACTCTCACGGTGGAGCGGCAGTGCCGCATGCAGCTGCTGCCCCATTCACTGCCGAGGTACAATCGCGTCACCATGCTGTGCTAAGATTCTCATGCAATCCCCGGCATAGGAAGAGGCTGAGTTCAAGAAGGTCAAGAAGATGGCTGACTTTCTTCGCGGCCGCAAGGGCATGCCTGTGCGCCAAGCCATTGAGATGGGCAAACGCGTCGAGTTCTTTCGCGGGGACAAGTTGGGAAAGTTCTTGCTGAACAACGCTGTTGCCGAACGCTACTGCCCGACCCCCGTGACTGACAAGGCACAAGCCCTTGAAATGGGCAAATTGCTCATCCAGTATGGATTTATCCACCGCAGCAACCGCGATGAGCGAAACAAGAAGGTGTTGCAACCGACACAGGACACGAGCTTTGTGGCCGATGGCTACTACACTTGGATGTACGACGGACCGACCACTTTTCGCAACTTTTTGACAACTCTGCTTATCATTGGGTTCACCGGTCTGGTGTGCTATCCCATCTGGCCGCAATGGATCAAGGTTGTCGTTTGGTACTGCTCGGTCACGTTCCTCATCTTCATTTTTGTGTTTTCGCTCGTCCGGGTCTTCGCGTTTTTCATTTTGTGGCTCGTCGGGATCGAGTTTTGGTTTTTACCCAACATTTACGACGACAACCTTGGGGTGATCGACTCGTTCAAGCCATTGTACAGTCTCCGCAGCACGGACGTCAGCGAACGCAAGTACCGTGCGATTGCTTGTGTTCTGTTCATTGCCATGTGCGTCTGGATCGCGCAGCAACCCACCGACTTCGACGAGTACATGGAGCTGACGAAGCAGTTTACCGACGACATTTACTCTGGCAAACTCATCGACGATATGAGCCAGCAGCAGCGAGACAGCATAGACAAAATGAAGATCCCTGATCTCGAAGAACTCATGAAGGATGACGCGTCGGACATTTTTGCCGAAAAGGACGAAGACGCAATCTTTGATAGCTACATGGACGCCAAGTACTTCTCTGAAGACGGTGAAGACATTGACAAGGAAGACTTGTAGGGGTCTCCTTGAATGCAAACAACCTCTCATTTACGTGATCTCTCCTGCTCCTTGCATGAAGTCATATCTCTCTCGTTTACCGCCGCCCACAACGATCGTGTGCACGACGCTCGAATGCGTCATGCTAACCGGATGTATACGGATAACATGGTGCTCTCAAAGTTTGCATACTTTGTTCAAGTGAGAGTGAGTCGTACCCCTGCATCGGAATGAATTGACAATGTTGACTGCGTCTCAAGACAGTTATCCGCAACTATCCGGAGAATGTCGCTCGTTCTGGGTCCCCTCGGGGTGATTTTTGGAATTGCGCGCACTTTCTGGTCCATTTGGAGATTTGCGATGGACGAAGTGCATGCTGCCACCGCCGCGGTGGCCGAGAGGACGCTGTACCTGCATGAATTCTACCCGTGCTTGGCGCCACTCTACCCATTCGCCTTCGAAAACTCATTCGTACGACCCTCACCACCCGCGACCTAAATGAATGTAGATGCTGACGTGGGAAGCCCAATTTTGCCGGTCGACGATGTACATGTGCATGGCGTTGTGTGCTGCGTACGGCTTCTCATGTTATGTCGGGAAGAAATTCATGCGCTCACGTGAAGCGTTCGATTTGACTCCGTAAGTTGTGAAGGATTAAGTTCCAGGACTTGAATAAGATTCTCAAGCAGTTCTTGTCCCTTATAGAGCATTGGCGCTGTGGAATTTGACTTTGTCCGTCTTTAGCGCATGTGGAGCACTCCGAACAGTGCCCTTTCTAGTGCATTCTATCTACCATCACGGTGTGTATCATTCCGTGTGCAGCGACGCGACATTGCATTACGGAAATGGCCCCGTGGGGTTTTGGGTGTCGTTGTTCATCTTCTCCAAGGTATGTTCTTCATGGTAGCTCTGGTTGTGTATATGACGGTGTTGTAGATTCCCGAGTTGTTCGACACATTTTTTGTCGTCATTCGTAAGAAGCCCCTGCGTTTCCTACATTGGTACCATCATATCACTGTGTTGCTCTACTGCTGGCATGCGTACTCTGTGCTTTCATCCAGGTAGACGCATCTCAGTTTCCCCTACGTTACCCCACTTCTTGTCGTATGTTCATACGTAGTGGCCTTTACTTTGTTGCGATGAACTACACTGTGCACGCTGTCATGTACATGTACTACTTTCTCACTGCGTTGGGATATCGTCCTCGTTGGGCGTACGTAGTCACGATGCTCCAAATGAGCCAGGTGAGAAGGTTCTTGGACATCTGCAATGAAATGACAATTCATGATGCGCTGTAGATGGTGGTGGGCGTCGCCGTCTGCGTGGCCAATGTCATTTTCCTATCGACATCGTCGTCTCCTTCGTCGGCAGTGTGCCATGCCAGTCACTCCAATCTCCTATTCGGCGTTGTGATGTATGCGAGTTACTTTGCTCTTTTTCTGCACTTTTTCATTCAACGCTACTCGACGTCCCCCGTCCACGAGCAATCCAAGAAAGAACAGTAACGTCGCATCTTTCATTTACTTCCTTCGGCACATCATGCAAGAACTTCCATTCTACAACTATTCAATGTTGATTGAGTTCAAGTATGACACCATCTCTTTGATCATGCGCTTGTCGGCTCGTTTTCGGTGTTTGACCATCAGCTGCAACCGCGACCACGCAGTACGAATGTCACCCACCATCGCGGCATGCGTCTTAGTCTTCGATACCAATTGGTGTGCCTTCTGTAAGTCGGCTTTCGCGAGCGGAATGTTGTTAGTTGCCATCGCAAGCACGCCTCTACATGTCGCAACTACCTTAAGCTGCCATCAAGTCGACGAATCCAGTTCAACCTCAAGTAGAGTGCGGGAATGTGGTTTGGCACGGCTTGGGCTAATGCATACGTAAGACAGTCGATGGCAAATTGAGTCGAGCCCAATGCATGCAGGCACTTGGCGCTGTTCAAGCATAGGTGCAGCCGAAGGTCAGCAATCTGGGGAGTTTCCACGGGTAAAATGTGCACTAGGTGCACGGGAACGTTGTCGGCCTCGCTGCCGTTGTCCAGCATCACGTCTGCATAGCCCCCGTTCACGTCGCTGACCATCCCCACGAGCCACTTCTTGCCTTGCTGCACCTACACGACTTTTTCCAACTCTGGGTGCAGGACAAGAAAAAGCGCTGACCTTGACAGGCTGGCCCACTGAAATCTTGGGTACCGGAGAATTTGGCGGTCGTGTCGCTTGGTACGATTCCGACACCGTCAACGTGGACAACCCAAGTCGATAGAACGCCCGGGCTGCCGTGAAATTGCCTAGACAAAAAGTGAGTCTTGCACCTACTCAAACGGTCGGTGCAGAACCTTCTCGGAACCACCGGTTGCCACTAGTCTTGAGTTGCGTCGCCACAGCGACGGCTTCACTCAGCGACAGATCAATTTCCAGCTTTGGCAACTTGATCACGTTCACAAGATGCTGGTGCTCGTACGCGTCGACTTGGTCGAGCAAGCTGGTCGCCCACTTTGCCACGTCATCCGGGTTGGTTTTTGCCGAGAGGTGGGCGATGGCGCCACGGAGATGTGGCTCGAGAACGAGCTGCTGTACAAACTCGGTGGAGGCGACAAGGTGTTCCAGCACACGAAGCATCTCCGACCACACTGCTTTGTATTTGCACAAACACAAGCGCAGCACCAAGTTGGAGAACCGATTGCTTGTGGAGTTGGCGGCTGCCACGTCGTCGACGGCTGGCCGCTGCGGCCAAAGGACGTCTACAAGTTTGACCAGGAAGGCCACGGTATTGAAATGACAATCGAAAGTTTCGTGGTATTTCACGTATTCCAGGCAAACGAGACGAGGTAGGCTCGCCGAGAAGAGCACTTTGATCTCGGTTATCGAGGTTGTGACGTGGGCCAACGTCGAGAAGAGCGCCGCTTCGTTCGTGAGCACGTACCACAGCTTCACTTGGTGCACAAAGCTAAGGCCATCGTCAGACGCGTTCCCAAGACCGGCGAACGGCCCCGTGGTGGAGGCGTCTGCGAGGAGTGAAGGGCGGTGCTGTGAGACTGAGGTGACCAGTGCCACGAGGGAATGCGCGACCTGAAGGATGAGAAAGAACACACAAATGACGACGCGATTCATCGAGGGAGTGGGTTCGTACGAGAGATGTGGAATGCAACGGCGCGTCGTGAATCGACATGGCAGCGTCGAGGATTTCCCGACGCGAAGACCACAATCGTGGCAACAATGGGACACCCGTTTCGGCGCACTCGGCGAGACACCGCCACATGACAAGATGAAGATCCGAGTCAGCATCAACTAGCGCTGGAGATGCTAGCACGTAAGGGAGGATCTGGCATTTCAGGTGAGATACTAGTACATTTGTCATCGGCGTACCATCTCCCAGACATCTGCGACGTTCGGCACATGCGCATTTTCACTGAGGATGCGAAGGGCTTGTGCCTGGAGAGAGATGTCGTCGTGGGTTGTAGAGGTCGCAATGGATGCAAGGATCTTTGTCCCATGTGCTGTCTTCAAGTGCACATCCAGCGAGTCCTCGCTGTCGTTGGCCATGACGTCGAATTTGTCGGGTTGTGTGTCCGGATAAACATTTTAATATCCATAAAATCTATCACGGGGAATAATCTTCTAGTAGTACTAGTTGTAACAAATATTTCGACCCACTTAATCTACAAATGACCAGTACGTACAATGTGGTTGGAGAGTTTCGCTTGCGATCGCATCCGTCCACACAGACGACGTAATTGCTACGAGCAACAGAGGAATAGCTGCTTTATATGCCTCATTCTAGTACTAACCAACGCAATAGAGCGCATTGTGCGTTCCGGAGCAGACGCCGCAACATACTCTCAGCACCTCTCGGAGTCATTGCGGACAGAGACGCACCTTTTCGCACATACGTTGAATCAACTGTTCCGTCCGCTTGAAGTTCAAATTAATTGTCCATGACACTTCCTGGTTCAACTGATTACGATCTCAGCCGACGAGAATTTCCCGTTTGTCGAGTTTGCTGGCGACGCCGTTTCGTTGGGTTGCCCTCGCAGCCGCCACCGGCTCGTTCACTCATTCCCAGTGGTATAAAGGTGTACTTTGCCTGAAAGTGTGTGTGTGGGGACTCCAACGCACAGACTAGATCGAGCAAGTCAACGGAACAAACCGATTGTCTCCCTCGGTCGTATCGGCCAAAATTATCGTTTATTCAATTTTGCATGACACGGCATGTTATTTTTTCTCGTATTTCGGCCAACACTTCAAATATTTCTCTCGTTGGAGGTAGCGCAAATCATTTTTCGGGTATTTGTCATGAACCAACATGCTCACTTGTCGACGCACACTATATACGAAAATCCCTCGGTGTGGACACAGAAACACGAAAAATACTTTTTTCTGGCGGCAGCGGGACATGGCGCGCGCGGGCGAGGAAAGGTCGCAGGACGTGTGATGTCGGTGTATAAATATGGATAAAAGGGCCGATCTCTTGCCTCTCATTCAGCAGCTTCCTCGATAGTTTCCAGCGACATGCGCTTCTTGTCGGGCTTTGGTGCGACTTTGATAGGAGTGAGTTTGCGCAGCTTCTTGATGCGATCGGCCGACGAAATATGCACGCTATGCCGACGATTGCGCGCTTGTGTATCATGGAAGGAGTGGCGCAAGAGGTCTGGAACGTCGGATCGGAGGCTTCCCAACGTGTCAGCAAAGCTGTGACGCAGGGAGGAGGATGGTGGCGGCGGAAGGAACGGGATGTCAGTTCGTCGATGCTGCGACGAACTGTCCTCGTTGTCGTGGAACTGCAAGTCAATGAATGTGTACCGCATGTCGGCAAGCATGAGGAAGTGTTCGAGCAATGATCGGGTCATGCACGCGGGATCGTGGCAATTGCGCACTGCAATGTTCACGCGGTCAAGAAAGACCGCGAGACCTTCTTGGCGTTCCTTGATCACACTCTTCGTGTTGGAAAAGATCCATTTCCGCTTTGGAAAGCGAAACGACACAGGCGCTTCATCTGCGAGTTCAGCGCAGCTGCCACACAAGGAAGCACTTGGATCGAGAAGCGACTCGCGGAAAGCCCGAAAGTCCGAGTACCGCTTGTGGACGAGCCACTGTGTCGTGTTCGTGCGCTGATCAGCCACGCGAATTGTGTACTGCGTTGGCGAGTGGGCGCCAGAGCCAGCTGGAGACGAGACGCTCGTGATGGACGTCTTCATGCACTGAATTTGGTGCTGCTGAACGGACGTAGAGGCTTGCGGCGGCATGTACCTTGTTGGTGGGGGATGGGATTTCTTGAAGTGCGGCGGATTTGTCGACCAGGCAGAACTCCACCTCTGCGTGTTTTGTCACTTGTGGAAGTTCAACTTCCGGAATTCGCAAAAAGGTCAGCATTTTTCGGTTCAAATGGCCAAAGTTTTGACAGGTTTTCCCAAATGTTGCCCACTTCGTTCGTTTTGGGCGTGTATTGTCAACTTCTGTGTGACGTGGTGAAACTCCACGCGACTGGTTGGATTGCCCAGATCTCACTTCAATACAGTATAGGCGCGTGTTTTGGTATTTTCCACCGTATTTGACATCGGGACGCTGAGTCCTCTGGCTCTTCTTTTTCAGCCAATCATCCGTCTACAACCTACGATGATTTCAACCAATAGCATGGCCTCACAATCCTCCGCCCACTTGTCATCCAGCGGGTGCGCATTGCTCGGACAAAGTGATGAAGCCGCATCACGTGGCAGTTCACCCCACTGACCCACCGCCAGTGGCCGAGGAAGGTCGCACCATCCACACGTTGACTATCGACAGGGCCATGCCGCCCGTTCTACGGTCGCAAGACGAACAGCGCACAATCTGTTTTCTCGCCCAGTGTTGGGCCATGCATATGATGTGCCCCCCCCTCGTGGCGCGCAAGCTCAATGGCAGGGCACACTCCGGTCGAACCAAATACCCTGTCCAACGCGACACGGCCTGGGAAAGGACACTTGGTCGGACGTGCTCTTCGTCCTGGAGCGCCTACGGAGCCTTTTAGGAGCTGGTCACACTGCGTGCATGGAATTCCGGTTGTAGAATGTTTGTGGTCTCAATTGGCTCATAAATGAATGTCGCAATATTTATCTTTTTCCATTACTCTTTTTATGGACACGTCCCCGTGAATTGATTGGTCGATATTCTTAGAATGGACTCATTTAAATATTGAATTGTAGATTCATTTAAATGTATTGACATAGGCTGTGATATAAAAACGAGATGGTCTACGTTGAAGACGACAACGGGGGGTCCGCAGGTCGAAGGTGGACTTCCTCGCGATGCACCATGATCAAGTCCAAGAACTCGCTCCAGTCTAGCGGCCACCGTACACATGAGCAGACAAACGAGGTTGATCGACTTGCCTTCGGCAGTCGGGATGTCTTCGTCCGTCTGGTTTAGCGGGGGCTGCTTCACTTTGTTCTTACCGACGTGGCTGTGGTGCAGCAGAGCGCGTTCCATGTCTCGGGCGTGGGTGTGTTGCAGGATCTGCGACGATGAACACACCTCTCTTGAGTTCTCCATCATGTCATGAAGCAGTGAAACCTGGAGCTGTTGGTGCAGTGCCTGGTTGAGTTTGGTCAGACGGGCACGGTCCTGCCGCAACGCCGCCTCGGCCATTTCCCCATGATGCAAGCGTTCGCGAGATGCATGGGCATCAGCGACGAGACCAACTTTGACTGATAGAGGATGCATTCGCTCTTCCACGTCATGGACAGACTTGGGCCAACATACCTTGCATAAGGACTTGCAAGTGGTCTCTGGTTTCGTCGAGCTCGTCGTGCAGTTGCTGAGCAATGCGTTCGTGCTTGGCCTGGTCCTTCCATAGCTGCTGTTGCAACTCCAACGCTTTGTTTCGTTCCGAGCGAAGTTGCTGGTGGCACAGGCCGAGTTTTGCTACCTTTTGCGCCGTCGCCACCTCCTTCACCAGTCCGTAGGTCCTGATGTGCCGACAGGGACGCATGCTTACTCGATCGTTGTGCCGCAAGCACACTTCTGTGCATTCGATACTCCATTTGCCCAGCAACGCCTTGGTCTTTTTGAACTCCGTCGCCATCGTGCGCTTCATCGCTTGCATTGCATCTTTCACTCGCTGGTGCTTCTACTTCGACGTGTGATTTTCCACATCCAACATCCCAGCCATCGAAACGAAACTGGATGGCCACCACACCTCGACGAGGCTTGTCGCGACTGTTTGCTGCACTGCCGCTCGACTGGATGCCATCGTTTCCACCTGTCGATCATAGCCACGTCATTCATCAGTGCGACCGCAACTCATCGCCACACGAGCATCACCTGCTTTTGAAGGGCGCTAGCTTCACCGACTACTTGACTGAGCTTCTCTGCCTGCTCGAGGACTTGTCCTTGAGCAATTTCCGCGCGCTGTCTCCAGTTGGCGCCCTGAGCGCTCGCGACTACGGCAAACATCTTCAACGTGGCCATGGCGCCACAACGAACCTTGGAGCTGCTGATGGCACTCGGCGCGTGCGACCAATTCAGAGTCCAACTGCGATTGAATCCCGTCGAGTTGCAAGCGTAGTTGCATCGCTTCATTCGCGACAGCCTTCATTCGCTCGGTCCATTCTGCCTCAAGATCGGCCTTGAGCTGGCTCAGCTCGTGCGCTCTAAGATACACGATACAGCTTCCCTGCCATACTGTCCATGCATACGTGGATGGCATGTCTGTGCTGTTGTCGCAAGTCGCGATAACGTCGTCGGTGGACGTGCCCACAGACTGCCGCCGCGGCGGGGAAGCTGCTTCCAACGAGCTCTGCAATTGATCGCGCAATTCTTCTGCTGTACGCGCCGCCGTAGCTGCCGACTGGACTGCTTGCGCTTCCATTCTACATTGGCAAGCGGACACATCAAATCTGCCGAGCGGAGCAAGCACTTTCCACGACACACCGGTCAACATCCAAATGCAGGCGCTCAATTGTGGCGTTCGCGGCCACGAGCTGTGCCTGCAGTACCCCAATGGTTGTGACGGCTAGATCGAAGTTGGCCTGCAGTGTCTTTACGCGATCGTCGGCCACTTCTGGCCGCCGACCGTCCATCGTGTCGGCCTCGGTGCTATCGATTCAACACAGCAGGATGTTACTCAGTGCCATGGAATCGTTTCATGTCGTACGGCGGTATTGACCGGCGCAAAGCTTCGGCAAACGTTGGCGGCAAGCGTTCTTCCTGAAAATTCCGCAGCACTCGCTGAGATGGGAAGGTTGGCGCGTGAGCACGTACTCGCGCAGCGGTGGACGTAGCGCGCACCGGCGTTGGTTGGAATATGGTCTCCATATCGCTACCAAATGCCACGAATAAAGCCAAACGCAAGATGGATCGTCTTCGCCCCCCCCAGGAGAAGTCTGAAACGTACGTTGGTGGAGGAATTGCGGGCGGCACTGACGCGAGGACTGGCGCCGCGAGATGGGGTGAAGAAACTGCCGCCGGGTCCAGATATGGAGTTCCTTTGCGTTGGTCGCTTGTCGTGGTGTTCATGTAGTCCAAAAACAAGTCGTTGTCTTCATTCATCCAGTCGATTTCACTCGGCGATGGACTACGCGAGCGAGTCGCGGGCACCGATCGCATGCTCGCGGATCGCGATACTGGTGATGACTACGTATTAGGCTCCAACGTAGGGTCATGGCGCGTGTGAGGTCGGGGGCGTACCATCGGAGGCAGCGGCGATGTGTGCCGCTTCACGAGTCACGACGTTTCACGGACGGCACGCAGCCAATCAGAGTCGTCCTGATTTCACGGCAGCCAATCAAATCGCGTGCTTCGACAGCTTCACCATTCACTCGAGATCAGCGAAGATCGTTCCTGCGACAACAAAGCACAAGCCGCCGCGACAGTCGCCGCGTCAAGCGTGTGGCCTTGAAGCGGCATCTCGCAGAGTTTGAAGCAGCGAGGTGTGGTCATCAAGGGGGTTGAGCCCCCGAGGCTGCGTCGAATTCCTCGGAGCGGTACACATCGGTCGTGGTCGTCGAGTGCTCGTCCATGTTGCATAGCGATCGAACAAGCGCCGGAGGTATGGCATGAACTTGGTTGCACGTTCGTTCTGCAGCCGTGATGAAAATCCATGGCACCCTCGAGAAAGTTTGGATGGCGTTCCCCGTCTGCGAACGGTCGCAAACCATACCAAAATCACTCCAGGATGGTTCGATCCTGGACGACCACACGAAGCCTGAGCGATGCGAATGCTTCCAGCCATGCCGGGAGGGTCGCTGAGAGATTTTCCAGGGGAAGTGTGAAGGGGATGTACCGTTGCGAAGCCATCTGTGGAACTGCATTGGGTTCAGATAGGCCATCGCTCAGCCAGCGTTCGTCGGTTATCACGTAGCGGGTGCTGTTACAAGCATGGACACCCATATCACGCATCTTTGGTGCTCGTTCAATGAGTCGACGGCGTCGCTCGTTCCTGGCTGCCCCGTCCACGATTTTGTTGAGCATGCTTTTATCGCTTTGCCTCACCATGGCGGCAGTGAGTCCATCACCAGCGATCATCTGCTCTATGCCCGCCAGGGTGCGTGAAAGGTTACCAAAGTATTATGCATTCGACTTGATGCATGGCGACTTCCGACTGCATCGCGTCATCAACGACCCGCTCCGTTCACAATGGCACCGCGGTGGTGTCTTCTCCATGAGATCTTCGTCCTGGTGACACAGCACTACAGTCATTGGCCATCATGGCAACAGAAAAACAGAAGCACGGCGGTCGGGGTAGAAAATCAACAACAGGGACACCTCCAGCACACTTCCTGGCCGACGAGAGGTGGGGAGGGGGCCGTGGACGTTCGAAGGAAGCGGGGGGCGGTGAGGCAAGGCCAGAGTAGTAAATTGGCCCCGATGGGTGACATTCACTTGGTTGACTGCTCACTCTTGGGGCACCTAATTGCAGGCAGGAGTGGATGCCCCTTCAAGACGACCACGCCCAGAGTCTCTCAGAACCTGTACCTAGCTGATGTTTCCGTCATGCGACCGCTGTATGCATCAGGTCATTTCCATTTGTCCCATGCTCGACATCCTTCGGCGTCACCACGACGGCGGCAGTTTGCACTCCCGACGCTTTGTGGCGTCATTTACGTGCGAGCGCTATATGTGCAAACGTGAGTACGGCATTCGACCCGCGCATTTCCACAAGTCGTGGTTGCCTGCGGTCGATGGTGGTGTTCCGTGCGGAAAAAACGATGCAACTTGTCCCGCATACACACACGATTCAATGACAATTGTAGCCCTGCAATATTGCTCGTGCCCAGTTCACCCCCATCGTCCAGGGGCTGGCCCGTCCTTTATCGCGCATTCCACCACAAGGGTACGTTGTGGAGGGGCAGGGGAAGGTCAAGGGGGTGGTCCACAGTAACACGGAACGCCGAACGGAACACGGCGGAATGGACGAGGGATGGATCGCTTGAACTGTGTTTCAATGCCAAACCGCATTTTGTGACAGGCCCCCGCCCCCGCTCTAGTCGCCACCGGGACGACACACCAAGTCCAGATGAAATGGGGTCTTTATAGCACACAGTTCGTGGAGCGGACGGCGCTTTTTATCTCCAGCAGCGACTCATGATCGACGACAGATCCTGTCATAGCTCGTCGTCTTGCATCAATCACGCCAGGCACTGCCAAAGCTAGGTGGGTGGCCCTACCCGTGGCTCCAAACCTCACGGCGCTATGTGGAAACAGCGCAACGTCTTGGTCATCGTCGCATTGTGTGCAGCTCTACTGTGTGGACGACCCTTGGACATCGACCAAGATCGTCATGACCACCCGTCCGAGAAGCCAACACCCCCACGATCGCAGCACAGTACAACTACAAGTAGCCACACAACCTGATCACCAACGGTTCGGGTCGACGAGGGTGTCGTCGAGGTGGAGCGACGCCCAACGACGTCGAGGCAGTGGCTGTATCATGTCCACTTCCCGCCCGCCACCAAAACGTCGAGTGCGTTAAGCTGTGGACAAGGAATCGAATCAAAGACTCCAGACCCCCTCGGCGGAG